ACTGTAGCAGTGCGCCACCGGGCCGGCCCTCAATAACAACTCTTAATGTAAAAGGTTTAAATTCCCCAATCAAAAGACACAGATTGGCTGACTGGATAAGAAAGATGGACCCAACTATATGCTGCCTACAAGAGACCCACCTCACCCATAAAGACTCACATAGACTAAGAGTGAAAGGATGGAAAAAGATCTTCCATGCAAACAGAAAAGAAAAACGAGCTGGAGTAGCTATACTCAAATCAGACAAAATAGACTTTAAACTAAAAACCATAAAAAGAGACAATGAGGGTCACTACATAATGATAAAAGGACTGATGCATCAAGAAGACATAACAATCATAAATATGTATGCACCCAATGTTGGAGCACCCAGATTTATAAAACAAACTCTATTAGACCTAAAAAAGGAAATAGACACTAATACCATAATAGCAGGGGACCTGAACACCCCACTCTCAATATTGGACAGATCAACCAGGCAAAGAATTAGCAGAGAAACACAAGAACTTAACAAAACTTTAGACCAATTGGACATGGCAGATATCTACAGAACATTCCATCCAACAACCTCAGAATATTCATTCTTCTCATCAGCACACCACATACCACATACACACCACACACACCACACAATACACAAACATGCGCATACCACACCACACAGCATACACATACCACAAACATACTTGCACATACCACACGGTGTACACCTACCACACCCACATGCCCAACACACATGCACCACACACCACACACACATACACCACAGATCATCTGGATCATCTGGAAGTGAGCTCCCAGAATTGGACCCTGTGTTGAAATCCTCGATGGTTTGGGAACAACTAGGGACCATCGTTCCCTGTGAAAAGTCACGCGGCAGCCTGGCCTGTGCTCACCTGCAGACTTGCGGGGGGTCTGGGCAGCACAGCTGGAGGCGGGGAAGAACTCAGGAATGTGCTACGAAGTCCAATAATCAAAAAGTTGGTTTTTTGAAAAGATAAATAAAATTGACAAACCATTAGCACGGCTAACAAAAAAAAGAAGAGAGAAGATTCAAATAACAAAAATTAGAAATGAAAAAGGTGATATTACAACTGATCCATCTGAAATACAAGGAATCATTTGAGACTACTATCAACAACTATACACCAACAAGTTTGAAAATCTGGAGGAAATGGATAAATTTCTGGACACACACAAGCTTCCAAAACTGAGCCATGAAGATGTAGAAAATCTGAACAGACCAAGAACAATAAAGGAGATTGAAGCTGTTATTAGAAGGCTCCCAACAAAGAAAAGCCCAGGGCCAGAGGAATTCACTGCAGAATTTTACCAAACATTCGAAGAGGAATTGACACTGATTCTTTACAAACTATTCCAAA